TAGTAGTTTTGAGACATTTTTATTCTAGTGCCTGATATATTTTTTGTGTTTGAGAATGGATATTTGAAAGAAACATTAATGCTTTTGTGGAAAACCAACACAGTATCGAAAACCAGTGTTAAGAAGGTATGCTCTTGAGTACAAATTACAAAATGTAAGTTGTAAATTTACTGTTTTTGTATATTTTTTTGCTTATTGTTATATACATATATTTTCAATAAAGAAACCAAAATGTTAAAAGTGGAAGCTCGTTAGGACAGATTAGAGGACAAAAAGTAAATTGTTTTTTTTTTTAATTTCACAAAACCAGCTTCAATTAATTGTGAGATGTGATTGTAACTAAAACTTGTTAATTGTCTGTCAAGGTTTTAACTCTCTTGCTATAGGCAGGTCAAAGTGCACATATCACAACTTTTCAAAGAGTTACATTCAAAATAATTAAATGACTTTATCATCAATATAGACAAGTAAACTTGGCATTAGAATGCAGTTAATAAATCAAATTTTAATATTATATAAGTTTTAAGTTCTCAAATTATCCTAGCTACAACCCTGTCTGTATTAGACTGGTCTCAGGGAAATCCATCCATTATCGGCAACTGTAGACAAGATCAAACTTCTAGTAGTGATGAATTGGATTCTTTGACCAGTTTAACCTTCTTGCCACAAGCCAAAGTGAGCATGTCATGACTCTTTAAAGAGTTACTTTCAAAATTTAATTAAGCTACTTTATTTTCATGGTATACAAATAAATTTAGCATCAAAACATAGCTAATGAATTTTAATGCTATAAAAGTTTTAATTCTTAATTTTATAAGGAAACATTAAAAAAAAACTCATTCTCCCTTGGTATAATAATTGTGATATTTGAATAGAGTTGTTTAAACATTGGTTTAACAACAAGTAAAAGTTTGGAATGGTCTACAACTCTGTTCAATTATGTACTACAGCTGCCCAGTGTCGGCTAACAATATGAAGAAATAAATTGTGGCTGAATGCTACAAGTTCTTCAAATTCCTATAAAATGATAGGTTTCTTTTTTGTGAGTGTAAAACACTTAAATATACCAGTTCGAATTGTGATATTTACTTTATGTCTTCACTATTCTCTAGTTTATTTACCAGCCCTCCAAGAAGTACAAAATTTAATGTAAATTACTCATTATAATATAAATATTACTCAGCCATAAATAAGAAAATCAGATCCACTTAATATGCCTAACTGTCACATCCTCTTTCCCAAATCGCCTATAGTTCTCTCTGACATTAAATAACTACATTGTTTATAAACAATAGAATGTCAATGTTTAAATCTATCAAATGACACATTATATTACTTTGTTTTCTGTATAAGGCATTGTCCAGTTTTTTTACTCCCAGAAATCACATCGACAAGCTTACCTGAATTTTTAAAGGCTCTTATCACACAGTTAGAAAGCTAGAAAAATTATGATGGTTATAGGACATTATTTGCTTTTTGTATATTATGATTTTGTGTTCTTAGGTGCATTACTTAATTAAATAAAACATTATTTAGTTGAATAGTAACTTTATTATAAAAAAAATAAGTAGGCTTAAGTTTCTTCGACAGTTGACGACAAAAAAAAAGAAGCCCCAGGTGAGTATTATATTTCTGGTTTTTCATGTGTATTCTTTAATTACTATTTTAAAAGTAACTAAAATGTAAAAATCACAAGCTTATTATGTAAGATAACATTAGATAATAAAAAATAAAAATTCTTTAGGAGATATGCTTGTGCATTACATAATTCGCCACATGATTTACAAGTTGTGTGGCAGTATCATCAGTTTAACTTGGTTTAAAGAATAATAAAACAAAATTAAGTATAAACAGATGGGTACTGTTATGAGCCTTAACCCTATTGCCCCAGGTATCCTTTAGTGCGCATAACACTAGGTTTCAGTGTCTTACATTCAAAATTTTATTAAACTACTTTTTTATTTATCTATCTATACCAATTATAATAGCATAAAATCTTACCTAATAATCCATATTTTAATAGTTTACAAGTTTTAAGTTCTTAATTCTACAAGGCAATATTTAAAGAAATCCTGAATTTCCACTAGGGTGAGCCACATGACACATTTTCTCTTAGCATGTCATCATCCATATTTTATCCACCACCCATTGAAAAAGTACAAAATTAAATGTAAATTACTCTATATAAAACTGTTATTGCTCAGACAAACCATAATCTTTATAGTCTTCAATTTTGTTTGGTCACAGAGCAATTGAATAGAAAATCAGACCCCTCCTGTTACATCTTCTCTTTCACAATTCGTTGATAGTTCTCTCTTACGTTTCATTATATATTACCTATAACCAATAGAAAATCAAGGTTTTCATCTATCAAATGACGTATTGTATAACGTTGTGGTCTGAACAGAATATCGTAAATTTTACTCACAGTACAAGCTTTGTTCCCATGGGAAAGTTAACAACCAGCTTGGATGAATTTGTAATGACTCTTGTCATATGGTTAGAAAGCTAGAAATATTTTGAGAGGTATGGGAATTTGTCTACTTTTTGCGTGTTATTAGTCTATATTCTTTGGTGCATTATATAATTAAATAAAAAATTATTAAATGCATTACTATTAGTACTATAAAAAGTTAGGTTTAACTCTCTTCGAAACCCAACGGCAAGAAAAAAAGAAGATTAGGTAGGTATTATATTTCTTGTT